CAGTCATATTGGCGTGTTGGATACACACATGTGATACTGACATATTGACGTGTTAAATAGATCCATATGATACAGACATATTGACGTGTTGGATACATACATGTGATACAGACATATTGACATGTTGGATACATACATGTGATACAGACATATTGACGTGTTGGATACATACATGTGATACAGATATATTGACATGTTGGATACATACATGTGGTACAGACATATTGACGTTTTGGATACATACATGTGATACTGACATATTGACATGTTAGATACATACATGTGATACAGACATATTGACGAGTAGGATACATACATGTGATACAGACATATTGACGTGTTGGATACATACATGTGATACAGACATATTGACGAGTAGGATACATACAAGTGATACAGACATATTGACGTGTTGGATACATACATGTGATACAGACATATTGACGAGTAGGATACATACATGTGATACAGACTTATTGACGTGTTGGATACATACATGTGATACAGACATATTGACATGTTGGAAACATTTATGTGATACAGACACATTGATGTGTTGGATACATACATGTGATACAGACATATTGACATGTTAGATACATACATGTGATACAGACATATTGACGTGTTGGATACATACATGTGATACTGACATATTGACGTGTTGGATCCACTCATGTGATAGAGACACATTGACGTGTTGGATACACATATGTGATACTGACATATTGACGTAGGAGATATTGATGTGATACAGACATATTGGCGTGTTCAATACATACATGTGATACAGACATATTGACGTGTTGGATACATACATGTGATACAGACATATTAACATGTTGGATACATACATGTGATACAGACATATTGACGTGTTGGATACATACATGTGATGCAGATATATTGACATGTTGGATACATACATGTGATACAGACATATTGACATGTTGGATACATACGTGTGATACAGATATATTGACGTGTTGGATACATACATGTGATACTGACATATTGACGTGTTGGATACATACATGTGATACAGACATATTGACGATTAGGATACATACATGTGATACAGACATATTGACGTGTTGGATACATACATGTGATACAGACATATTGACGTGTTGGATCCACTCATGTGATAGAGACACATTGACGTGTTGGATACACATATGTGATACAGACATATTGACGAGTAGGATACATACATGTGATACAGACATATTGACATGTTGGATACATACATGTGATACAGACATATTGACGTGTTGGATACATATATGTGATACAGACATATTGACGTGTTGGATCCTTACATGTGATGCTGACATATTGACGTAGGAGAAATATATGTGATACAGTCATATTGACGTGTTAAATAGATACATGTGATACAGACAAATTGACGTGTTGGATGCATATATGTGATGCAGACATATTGACGTGTGGGATACATATATGTGATACAGACATATTGACGTGTTGGATCCTTACATGTGATACAGACATATTGACGTGTTGGATACATACATGTGATACAGACATATTGACGAGTAGGATACATACATGTGATACAGACTTATTGACGTGTTGGATACATACATGTGATACAAACATATTGACATGTTGGATACATACATGTGATACAGACATATTGACGTGTTGGATACATACATGTGATACAGACATATTGACATGTTAGATACATACATGTGATACAGACATATTGACGTGTTGGATACATACATGTGATACTGACATATTGACGTGTTGGATCCACTCATGTGATAGAGACACATTGACGTGTTGGATACACATATGTGATACTGACATATTGACGTAGGAGATATTGATGTGATACAGACATATTGGCGTGTTCAATACATACATGTGATACAAAGATATTGACGTAATAAAAATACATACATATGATACAGACATATTGACGTGTTTGATACACTCATTTGATACAGACACATTGACGTGTTGAATACATATATGTGATACAGACATATTGACGTGTTGGATACATATATGTGATACAGATATATTGACGTGTTGGATACATACATGTGATACAGACATATTGACGTGTTGGATCCTTACATGTGATACTGACATATTGACGTAGGAGGAATATATGTGATACAGTTATATTGACGTGTTAAATACATACATGTGATACAGACAAATTGACGTGTTGGATGCATATATGTGATGCACATATATTGACGTGTGCGATACATACATGTGATACAGACATATTGACGTTTTGGATCCTTACATGTGATACAGACATATTTACGTAGGAGACATATATGTGATACAGTCATATTGACGTGTTAAATACATACATGTGATACAGTCAAATTGACGTGTTGGATCCTTACATGTGATACAGACATATTGACGTGTTAAATACATACATGTGATACAGACAAATTGACGTGTTGGATCCTTACATGTGATACAGACATACTGACGTGTTAAATACATACATGTGATACAGACAAATTGACGTGTTGGATCCTTACATGTGAAAAAGACATATTGACGTAGGAGACATACACTTGATACAGACACATTGACGTGTTGGATCCTTACATGTGATACAGACACATTGACGTGTTGGATCCTTACATGTGATACAGACATATTGACGTAGGAGACATACATTTGATACAGACATATTGACGTGTGTGATACATACATGTGATACAGACAAATTGACGTGTGCGATACATACATGTGATACAGACATATTGACGTGTGCGATACATACATGTGATACAGACATATTGACGTGTGGGATACATATATGTGATACAGACATATTGACATGTAGGATACATACATGTGATACAGACATATTGACGTGTTGGATACATACATGTGATACAGACATATTGACGAGTAGGATACATACATGTGATACAGACATATTGACATGTTGGATACATACATGTGATACAGACATATTGACGTGTTGGATACATATATGTGATACAGACATATTGACGAGTAGGAGACATACATGTGATACAGACATATTGACGTGTGCGATACATACATGTGATACAGACATATTGACGTGTGGGATACATATATGTGATACAGACATATTGACGTGTTGGATCCTTACATGTGATACAGACATATTGACGTAGGAGTCATACATGTGCCACGGAAATATTGACATATCAGTGAGAGAACTAGTGTAATATCTATTGTCACATCTGCATTTCAGCCATATTGAGACTAACACAAATTACAAATTCCTGATAATACAGTTACATTTTAGAACCCTGACAACAAAGAACAGTGAAAACATCTACAATATTACAGAAACAGAATTGAACACAAGCATCAATCTCTGGAATCCTATTTATATTTAGGACAACGCAATATAAAAACAACCGACAGATCGCCAGTAACTCAAGGTAGATCACCACACTGGGGACCTTAGGGACTTGCAGTAGATTTGCTACCTGCCCGGAACCTTGCTGATTTCACATCATTCCTTCATATGCTGTCGAATGTAGATAAATCTAACGACTAATTAAAATAACCTTTTTTCTACGAGAATGGTAGATTTAAACTTACTTTGATTGTTTCGGGACTCTCAGGAGGAAAATACTTGAACCCCATGTGGGATGCAGCCACTATCAATCTCAGTTGTTAATTTAAACTACCAATAACAAAACAGTAATAAATAATAATAATAACAGTAATAAAAACAGTGAAATGTACGGGTGAATGATGACAAAATGTCATGAAAATCGGTCGAATAGTTTCGGAAATGTTCACTTTTTAGTGAGCATGGGTCATTTTGGCGAAAGGCTAACTATCCAAAGTATAGGCGACTACGCTTGTTAAAGGGGTTTGGCATCTCCGACCGTGAGGCAATCGTTCCGTTTTGAATCGGTTAGGTGTGTGTACGGCTCAGGAAAGACCTCGGACTGTGATCAGCGTTACCTTTGTTTATTATCATGGGAATTATCACTAACTTTATTGGTTGGATGTCTTCTATCTTCCAACAGACAAATGTGCATTCAGATTACACACACTTCATCAACCATCTGAATGAGCCAATTTTCGGCAATCTTAGGAACAACTAGACCTGGGTCATCTCATTTACAATGAAAAATGAACAGTGGTTGAATAATGATTAAATAAGATTAAAATCCTTTGAAGATCCGGGTTAGAAATGGTCTTCAAGAGCCCATTGTAAGAGGCGAGTAATCGGGTAGTATTGCTCGCTTACTTGGCCGATGCATGGCGTTGTATAACAGCTGACATCGCAGAGAAAATACGAGTTGCTGTGGGATGTGAATCCGATATGGAACAAGTTTTTATGGATAACAACTTCTTTATTTCGTGAGTGCGACGTTTCGATACGGATTCTTGTACCGTTGTCAAGCAAGAGTGATACATGACGTGGAGGAGCTGCATATTTATACTGTGTATAACAACGAAACTACATACATTGTAATTGACAAAGGAAACAACATAAGTGCCATAATTGGTTAAGCAGTAAGCAGTATAAATATGCAGCTCCTCCACTTCATGTATCACTCTTGCTTGACAACGGTACAAGAATCTGTATCGAAACGTCACACTCACGAAATAAAGAAGTTGTTATCCATAAAAACTTGTTCCATATTGTACGTCTTAACTTCTAAAATGCCACTCAAACAGGATGTGAATCCGTTTATTTCAGAGACGTAGAGGAAAAGCATAATAATACCCTGTAAACATTATCATAATACATATGAATACCACAGTATAGTTACGGTGGTATCAAAGATTCATTAATAGCAATAAGAAAAGAGAAAAAGGGAGACAACTGAAACATATTTAACACACTTCACATTGCACAATAAATGAACACAATAATGACAAACAGTTTTCCCTTTCAATTGTTTCACTTAGATAATAATACTGGTTTGTAGTAGGGAGGAACATAATAGATATTTTCTCCACATGAGAATGCAAAGTGCATGTCATATAGCTGGAGGAGCATGAAACAAAATCACTTCAAACGGAAGTCTTGGTTCGTCTGTCCACATAGACCTGGATCCCAATGCTTGGTGTCGCCAGTTATAGTGGTGTTCCTCACTGGTTGCCGAGGCTGCAGTCCATCATTACTGAAAGTAATCACGTCGTGATGCAGTGTATGAAATTAAGCCCGTCCAACCGCCCGATACGGGCTAGATATCTGGCGGACAGTCCAACATTACACCTAGATGGTCTGGAAAAAATTGTAGGTGTTCCAGACACCTGAGTAATTCACCATATCTTGGTTTCTGGTTAAATCCATTCTGGGCTGGTCACATTTTGAAGTAACCAGCCCTGATGTCTGGCTTGGTTTTTGGCATATTTCACCTACTGCGTGATGAAACAGGTTTAACTTTCATGTCCAGTTACCACGTAACATATATCAAGCTAAATTGTGACAAAATCATAACTGAATACCTTTCCGATCTGCTTTCTTGACAGGTTTAGCATATAGATCGTCGTCAATATGACATGATTCCAGCGACAGCGTCCTTCGCTCTTGAAGCCCGCTCATGTTGTGTGCATCTGAAATATACATGTGTTGCATATATAGCAAGATATCTGGAAGGTCCTTGAAGGTCTGGGTTAGAATTGATCTTCAGTAACCCATGCTTGTCGTAAGACACGACTAATGGAATCGGGCTGTCAGGCTCGCTGACTTGGTTGACACATGTCATTGTATCCCAATTGCGTAGATCGATGCTCATGCTGATGCTCACTGGATTGTCTGGTCCATACTTGATATATTTATAGACCGCCGCCATATAGCTGGAATATTTCCGAGTACAGCGTCAAACAACAACATAAAACTAAACTCACTCACTCACTCAAGATATCGGGATGTCACCTTCGTTATTACATTTTAGGAGCTCCTACCTGATACACAGCCTTGTGGTAGATCAGAGTCCCTACCTGATACACAGCCTTGTGGTAGATCAGAGTCTCTACCTGATACACAGCCTTGTGGTAGATCAGAGTTCCTACCTGATACACAGCCTTGTGGTAGATCAGAGCTCCTACCTGATACACAGCCTTATGGTAGATCAGGGCTCGTACCTGATACACAGCCTTCTGGTAGATCAGAGTCCCTACCTGATACACAGCCTTGTGGTGGATCAAAGTCCGTACCTGATACACAGCCTTCTGGTAGATCAGAGATCCTATCTGATACACAGCCTTGTGGTAGATCAGAGTTCCTACCTGATACACAGCCTTCTGGTAGATCAGAGATCCTACCTGATACACAGCCTTGTGGTAGATCAGAGTTCCTACCTGATACACAGCCTTGTGGTGCCTCCTCTGTTGTGTCCCCGCCCACCTCCACAAAACCAACGTAACAAACGTTGTCCACCATCGCTGAAGGAGACAAACATGTGCAACAGGCACAAGTCAATAAGCTCTGAGACAGTCTATGGACTTGGGTCAAACATATCTTGTTAATGTGCTTTCTCATCAATATCGCAAATATACAGTAAGTCACCATGGCCCCTTATATGGTGATCTACCTTCAGCTGTTGGCAATCCATAACCTGTTTTTTGTTGCATTGTCTTCTGTAGTTTATGTCTTCTAGATTTACATACTACTTTTATATTCATAACTCTGATATTCTAGTTCTTTTTTACTGTCCTTCGTTGACAGGCTTTTTCTTTTGTACATGTATTTATGATGAAACTTCTATTAGTCTCCATATAGCTGAAATATTGCCGATGTGACTATAAGTCTTAATGCACTCACTCTCATCAATATCACTGGGTTGTATTAAAAGAATGAACGGTTAAAATACGATGTTGGTAAGGGATTGATATTTCTGAATTTATCCTAACATGAGTATCCTTTGAAGTTTTAGAAATGTAATTAACAAAATACCTTTGTCGTTTCCCGATTCTTCTTCTTTATGATCATCTTTTACCCTGCAAGGAATCATTGTAAAATATACTTTAGAATATTAATTGTCAAACATAACAGTATGAAACGACAACTATTTGCAAGCATCCGCAATCAAAGATTTCTACTCACGCCTCTGGTTCTTCATCTCTTGCCACTGAAACAAATCAATGCATATGAGCTGGAAACATATATTGCTTTACTGATGATGTCAAGCACGGCAAAGAGTGCCATTATAGCCTACGTAGACACCCAAAATGTTGAATTAAATATATTTTACGTGAGTCATTATTAAATATGAGGCTGGAAATCTGAGAGCACAACCCTGTGAGGAAATGGGTGTCTATCTGTGATGGTGGCAATATTTAATTTGATATTAAAAATATTTTTCTAACCGAAGCGAGGGAAGTATGTTGCCAACCTTTGCTCGATTTGCTCGCAAATAGAAAGACTGGTCATTTTTCTCTCTGTTTAGCAACCCTATTTGTGCTACGGTTTGCCTGCGGTTGAACACCACTTCAATGGATGTGTTGTTTACATGGATGTGTTTGTTATGATCAGTGCAAGCATTGGATCCAGATCAAACAACAAATGTTTATGATGTTGATGGGCCTGATTTCGTGCAGTATACATGCACCATAGCCATCTTCAGCTTACCTGCAGTATGTTTCATGCGAACGACAGCAAAACCGATGAGGACAATGATGATGAGCAGCCCCGCACTGGACCCAGCTATAATGTACACATTGGGGAAACCAGAAGGCAACTCTGAAACGTACACACACATGGGCTGTGAAGTGAGTGAGTGAGGTGGGATTTTAGCAATAGTCAACCAGTATCACTACAGGGGACACAAGAAATGGGCTTCGCATATTGTACCCATGTGGGGAATCGAACCCGAGCCTTTAGTGTGACTAGTGAGCGCTTTAACCATTGGTCTACCCTGCCGCCCTATGTTACTTCACGCCCATGTACATAAGGTACATAAATCTGTTTCATTCAATCAACAGTAAAACATCAATATTTCTTTGTAAATACATAACTCATCTTCATAAAAAATATGCAAATTTACTTATTTCTTCCAAAGGGAACATGCATATCCAAAACTGTGTAGTGTAAAAACACCATGGTCATAATACTGTCGTCTCCACATATCTAAGGTTGACTGAATTAATATTAACCTGTAGAAATAGGGCCATGGTGTGGTGCAGTGGTGATCGGAGCTGCAACTGGAAAAACAAAGGGCAATATCATTCAGAAATGTCGTCAATGATAAATTTCAAGTGAACATCATCTATTTATGTGTTCTTCTTCCATAGCAGCCCAGTCAACAGTGATCCGTGAGTCTAATCTTTATTTCATTTAAAACAATTCAACAACAGAGGAGTCATTTGTCACATGGACAGGAATGTGTCACCGAATTCTAGTTAACACAAGTGTTTTCTTAGCCATAGCGTACATACTTGTTGTTGGATCCAGGATACAATCTTGGACACTTTTTCGTCACATACAACTGAACGTGCTAATGATCGAAATGTTCGAATCTTAAATAGAATGTCATCTCTAATATGACTCTTCATAACCTGTTTTCGCCCATCCCATTGATGGATCATTTGTCACGTGCCCAGCAATGTGCCTCCTAATATTAGTTATGCAATAACGTGTTTTCTTAACCTAAGCATGACGTCACCATGACGTACATACCTGTTGTAGGAGTCAGGACAACAACATTCAGACTGTTACTGTAGTAGTCGGCCAACGTAACATCTCCACACGGATCCGTCATCCAGGCTGGAGTTAATCTGAAGCATCACCTTGTGTACTTGTTGGTTGGTCGTCACATTGATACGTCCTGAGACTTGATCGTATTCCGTTGTGTTTGAGTCATCTGGTAGTACTTCCCCCCCAACTGTTTGAAATATCGCCTCTGTGTTTCTGTACCACCTCACTGTAGTTAACGGCGGGATATTATCTGTTGTTTTACTGCAGGACAGTGTTAGCAAGTCTGTCTCTACTACGGAAACAGGATCTCCGGTGAGGTCAAGGTCAGTACATATCACTGGAAGAAACAACACTAAATTCATACATTTTTTCTCTCTAAACGAGTGGTTTTGGTACCTGTTTTGAATATGAAGTAACATGATAATATTGGGTAATACACTTATGGAATGTTAGTACGTAAGTCCTGAAACATTCGAAGTACATTTGAATTAACCAAATTATAAAACCGTAGCATTTTTTTAATTCTAAATCACGGCGTAATTTGATTATAATCGCCAATGGCCGAAGAGATGGTGTAAAGAGATGACCCAGCTAGGGTCCATGAAGATAGCAAAGGCACTGTAAGTCCCCATGGTCCCTAGTGTGGTGATCTACCTTCAGTTGCTGCGATCTATAGCCCAATTTTATGTAGTAATGCCCTAAATAGTAGATAGTTTTAAGTAACATGCTTGTTTTAAATTTATGACTGTGATATACTATAGTTGTTTTACCTTTCCTTCGTCGACAGATTGTATAACATAAAATCATAAAGTATTTCTTGTTTTAGTCACTATGTGGCTGAAATATTGCCAAGGTGACTTTAGATTTTAACTCAAACACTCACCATGGAATGTTATGTTGTTTAGGACTCGTCATGAAATAAATTTAAACATTTGCCTCATCAGATACCACAAGACCTTTCTGTTAGAAGGAAAGAAAGAAATAAAAATGATATTACACAACCAACCTGTCATGACGAACATACTGCACACTGCAGACCACGTTGCCACCTTCAGATATATTCTCATGATCTTGATTTCTGTAAGGTTTCAAGGTTCATATCGTTGTTAATGTGATGTAAAGCGCTGTATTCCAAGTATAATGTAATCATTGTCTTGTCCAAAAAGGGAATTGCTGGCGATCTCTAGCCTTTCATATATTGCATTGTTAAGAATAAAGGTTTATTGTTATGAGTGAGTGAATGAGTTTAGTTTTGCGCCACTTTTAGCAATATTCCCAGAATATCATTGCTGGTGACACCAGAAATGTGCACATTGTACCCATATGGGAAATCGAACCCAGGTCTTCGGTGTGACGAGCGAACGCTTTAACCACTTACCCCAATGCCCCTGTATTGTTCATAATGTCGCCGGATGTACTTCCCCATACATTTGCGTATCTCTTACTTTATTCCTCTCTGCTCATTTACGAGCGCTTCTTCTATCACTCTTACTCTGGTTGTAATACCAGTAGTATCTCGTGCATTACCTGTTCCGTGACATCTCGTGCATTACCTGTTCCGTGACGTAGGCATCTTCATATTTGCCACTTCATGTCACGCCACGGCCGAGGTGAGTTGATACACCCCTCGGCCATACATCATATTATATTGAAATCCATATATGTATTTTACAGGTATGTACCTTTTCTGTCTACTTTCTTTGTCATCCTCTAAACGTATTATCATAAAGGTGCGCGATATCATAGTATTTATAATATCTATTATATTTCTATTATAAGGCATCGCGTTGCACGAAATTACTAATTAAACACTGGCACCAGCACGTAAGTAAGTGTGAGTGATGTCTGCTTCCTTTAATTTGCTCATAATATTCAAAGTGCAATATTACATAAAATGCTGTAAAGACCATCTTATAAATGGTAAAATTCGTGCAATCTTCATTTTTGGCACTTCATGTCACGCCACGGCCGAGGTGAGTTGATACACCCCTCGGCTATACATCATATTCTATTGATGTCCATATATGTATTTTACAGAATAAACAGATTTTAATCAACTACGCCTCAGTCCGATTTATCAGCGGCCAGGACCCGCGACAATAATGACATATCTGGCAGTCTATGAATACACAGTGTCATTTAGAAAATTGTCAAATGTAACGCAAGTTACGACACTTTCATGATTTTGAACGATTCAAGTAGGTTGAGTCCCAACAGAAACGTGAAACCACAATCTCTCTGAGTCACGGCACTTAATCGCCAGGACATGCTAATCAAGTTGTTTATCAGTCATTCGATGATTGGATTTTATAATAAAAACGTGTATTTGTTATGTACACAATACATTTGGATGTGTACTTAATTCTAACTCACTCACTCACCTTAAATGGGAAATTGAAACCTGCAAATTCACTCCAAACGTTATCCACCACGTAGGTTTGATCAACACCCTTTGGGTATAAATATCCTTAGCAGATGCTTGTGATCTGGGTTATGAAACTAGTTGTGTACACACATACGACACGTCCGTTATCGCTCTTCTCTGTTTCTATCATTGTATGTGCTGGTATCACGGACACTATTTCAACAGGGAACATGATTTACTTCCTCGTTAGTCAAGTGCATTTGTGAATCATCCGTATTATGTTGCCTTTACATATAAAATGCGTGGACAATCAGTGACAATCAGTCAGGGTTGGGTGAGTGAGTTAAGATTTTAAGTCACATCGGCAGTATTTCAGCCATATCGTGACTAAATCAAGTTATAGATATATTAATAATTAAAGGTAAATGATAACATTCTGTCAACGAAGGACAGTAAAACAGCTAGTTTATCAGAGATATAAATTTAAAACTAGTAAGTAAATCTAAAATATTTTAACTATAAATGACACGACAATATAAAAACACCCTATATATTGCCAACAACTAATGGTAGATCACAATACTAGGTACCATGGGGACTTAAAGTACATATGCTTCCTGCATGGACCCTAGCTGGATTTGCACCATCCCTTCAGCTAAAAGCAATTTTAGACAATCTAGCCATAAATTAAAAAAAAGATACATTTTCTACGATTAGAATACTAGAGAGTTTTACTTTACTTTAAATGTTTCGGGACTTACGTACCATTACGGCGATATATACATGGTACATTGTGTGTCGTTGACGTTTTGTGTTTCGAAACTTTGAGTCACAGATGTTACTAAATGTAGACTTACTTATTCATTCGAGCTCAAACTAACGAACCACATTTTCTAAGTAACTGCAGTTTTGGGTTTAACCTGCAGATCTTTGTGATCGCACGACAAACCTGCTCGTGCTATCCGAGCCGTAGGTGAAATTGGGTTTATGGGTTTAACCGTTGGTTATGATCATGTAAATCACTGTGCATGATTCCCTGACTTGGTGTAAGACAATCTCAGTTCGTGAACCCGCGACCTTCGCTCTCTGGTCGGACGCTCTAGTTCGTGCTATCCGACGCTGTGATTTCATATTTATATTTTGTAGCGAAACGAGTGAGTGGGTATGATTTTAACACTGCTATTGCAGTTCCACAGTGGAAAACACCTGAAATGGGCTTCACACATTGTACCCATAGTGTGGAATCGAACTGTTCCCTGTGACGAGTGAACACCATAACCACTAGTCTTTAACTATAAACTCCTGATACTAATTGTAGACTTTCGTCCTTCAGATACGTCTCTTAAAACGAATTACAATGTCATAGTGAGTGAGTGAGTTAATACTTAACGTTACATCGGCAATGTTTCAGCCACACCGTGACGAGAACATAGTTGAAGTTGTTAAAGAATATGGGTATATTATAAAACCTGTCGTCAAATGACATTAAAACAGCTAGAATTAAAACTAGCATGTAAAGGTAAAACTAATAGCACTATGTGAACATTACAGAATATAAAAACAGGCTACAGATCACCAACAAATGAAGGTAGATCACCATACTGGGGACGTACCATTACAATGTCATAAGTATTGCTTTTAATCGACAATTACACAACATGATGATGAGATCGGGATATAGTTTCGAGGTTGTACAACCAAACACATAGACGTGGCATTCAAGATAAAACGTGCAATTCAATTCTTCGCCGTTGTTTTGTTGTTGTTTTGCCGCAGGTAGTCCACATGTCTAAAGAGTCGTAATTGGCTTCATAGAGTTAACCGAGTGCCGGTGATGTCTGATTTCGAATGTCAGATACACCATGATTATACTTGTTGGTTACTTGGCCTACATTAGTTCAAGCTTTTCTCCCATTTCAAAGTGACGCACCGTCATATTAGTAATTTACTGTTCAAACCCACTCATTCATTTTTTATGCTAAGTTCTAAGCGTCATTTGTATTTTTATAGTATTTTTGGGGCAAAATGTATAGTCTCTTTAGACTGTCTTACCACAAAGATGACATCAACATAGACCTATACCACTTATTGACGTGTTTTCATGTAATGTGATGCCTACCTGTGAAGATCCGGTTTAGAATTGGTCTTCAGCAACTCATGCTTGGCGACTAACGGGGTCGGGTGGTCAGCCGCGAAGACTTGGTTGACACATGTCACCGTATACTGTGTAGATCGATCCTCATTTTTTGACGACTGAATTGTCTGATCCAGACTCGATTATTTACACACGATATGGCTGAAATATTGCTGATGTGACTATAAATCTTAACTCACTCATTCACTCGATTGTTTACAGACCGCCGCCATATAGCTGGAATCTTGCTGATTGCGGCATTAGACAACAAATAAGCCAATCAAACTTCCCTCCAGCAACAAACTGACGCACAGTGATATCACTTATTTACTATTCAAACCCATTTATTCATTTTTACTTTTAACTGAATTGGAAGCGCCATTTGTTGTAATATTATCTTTTTGCAAAATGTATCATCTCTCTAAACGGTCTTCCCACAAAAAAACCCATCAAAGTAGACCTATACAACTGATTGAAGTGATTATATTTAACTTGATGCCAAAATGAACTTGGAGAGATTTGATTTGTCACCCAACCAGAACCATGGTCTCATGTACGGTGATCTACTTTCAGTTGTTGGCGACCTGTAGCCCATTTTTATGCTGTATTGTCGAAGATAGAAATAGTGTTTTATGGTTACATGCTAGTTTTAAGTGTATACATGTAGAAGTGATAGAGTAGTTATTTGTACTGTCCTTTGCAGACAGGTAAGTTACAAGTATGATTTTATTCATTTATACATTTACGAATTTAAAACTTTCTTAGTCACGGTATGGCTGAAATACGGCCGATGTGACTTT